GGTTCAAAAGTGGTTCAGGAGTGGTTCAAAAGTGATTCAGGAATGGTTCAGGAGTGTTTCAGGAATGGTTCAGGAATGGCTCAGGAGCGGTTGCCCTTCGAATGGATATCATGGGCCGCGGGCGTGTGTTTCCAGAGTGGTTCCAGAGTGGTTCCAGAGTGGTTCAAGAGCGGTTCAAAAGTGGTTCAGGAGTGGTTCAAAAATGGTTCAAGAATGGCCCAGGAGTGTTTCAAAAATGGCACAGGAATCGTTAATGAGTGGCTTCGGCGCGGTTTGGGAACCGTTCAGGAGTGAGCGCCATTCGGTCAAACCCCACGAGCGCGCACGAGAGCGATCATTAATGGTCCAAGAGTGGTTCACGAGTGGCCCAAAAGTGGTTCAAAAGTGGTTCAGGAGTGGTTCAAAAGTGGTTCAGGAATGGTTCAGGAGCGGTTCAAAAATGGTTCAGGGATGCTCAGGAGTGGTTGCCCTCCGAATAGATCTCATGGGTCGCGGAGGAGTGGTCCAAAAGTGGTTCAAGAGTGGTTCAGAAGTGGTTCAAAAGCGATTCAAAAGTGGTTCAGGAATGGTTCAGGAGTGGCTCAAAAGTGGTTCAGGAATGGTTCGGGAATGGTTCGGGTGTTGCAAGACTGGTTCAGAAGTGGTCGCCTTGTTATCGACAATGTCAGGGGCGGTGGAATGGTTCAAAAGCTGCACAAGAGTGGTTCAAGGGTGGTTCAGAAGTGGTTCAGGAGTGGTTCAAAAGTGGTTCAGGAATGGTTCAGGAGTGGTTCAAAAATGGTTCAAGAATGGTTCGGGAATGGTTCAGGAATGGTCCAGAATTGGTTCAGAAGGGGCGACCACCCGATCGGGTCCAAGGTGCTGCGGGGCGCGGTTCAAAAGTGGTTCAAAAGTGGTACAGGAGTGGTTCAAAAGTGGTCCAAGAATGGTTCAGGAGTGGTTCAAAAATTGTTCAGGGATGGTTCGGGAATGGTTTAGACATGGTACAGGGCTGGTTTGGGAGTAATTGCCATGTGGATAATGCTGGGGGGGGGGGGAGGGGGGGCGCATGAGGGGTGGTTCAAAAGTGGTTCCAGGGCGTTTCAACAGTGGTCCAGAAGTGTTGCAGGAGTGGTTCAGGAATGGTTCAGGAGTGATTCTCACCAGTGGCTCAGATGGGGCTCAGAAGCGGCATGGCGCGCATCCGTGCTGTAGGGCCGCGTGAGAAGTGGCGGCCATCATGAGACGCCGCATGCCGCCAACGGGAATGCCCCAAAGGTGGGTCAGGGGTTGTCCAAGGGCGGTCTGGTCGTGGTCCACCCGTGGTTCAAAAAGTGGCCCACGAGTGGTTCAACCGTTGCTCGGGGTTAGTCCAGGTGTGGTTCAACCGCGTTTTCGGGATGGCCCAGGGGTGGTTAAGGCGTGGTTGTCGTTCGATTTGTTCGTGGGGGCGTGTGGGGGGTCGTCCGAACGTTGGCCAGGGATGGTTCGAACGTGGGTCAAACGTGGTTCAAAAATGGTTCAAGGGCGGTTAAGGAACGTTCCAGGAGAAGTTCAGCCATGGCTCAGGAGTGGTGCAGGAATGGTTCAGGGGTGGCCCCTAACTGGCGCATGGGTGGCGCGCGCTTAGACAAACCCCAAGGGCGCCGAAAGGAGTGGTTCACGCGCGGCGCACCACTGATTTCAGGTGTGGTGCAAGCGCAGTCCATGATATGTTCGGGGGTGGTTCGGTCACGGTTCAAGAATAGCCCAGTTGGTGTGCAGGGGTGGTTGTGGAACGGCCCAGGGCCAGTCCAGAAGTGGCGGCCAGTCGGCGCATTTCCAAGATTGTGTAGGGAGGTGCCGATGCAAACGTGGCACAAATATTGCCCCCGGGGGGGCCAAGCGCGTTCGAGGGATGGTTCGCGCGTGTCTCAGAAGCGGTTCAATGCAAGCCCATGAACTGTTCAGGGTTAGTGCAGGCGTTATTCCGAAGTGGCTAAAGGGCTATTCCAGGAGCGGCTGCGCATCGGTCAGCCAGTGACGCACGCAATATTGGCGTAAACGTTTTTCGCGGAGCGGTGCAACAGTGGTTACTAGTTCTTTGCTGAGTGGCGCAGACGTGGTTCGGTGATGATCCAAGAGTGCTTCTGGTGTGGCTTATTGCGGTTCAGGAAAGGCGCTGGGGCGTTCAAACGCGGCTGCGCGCCGGGCAGTGCCCAGGAGCGCATGGGAGCGCTTCAGGGGTGCATCGCTAGTGATTCAAGCGCGGTTCAGGGACAGCTTGGAATGGTTCAGGACCGATGCGAACGTAGCCCCGACGTGGTGCAGGATTAGTAAAGGCGCGGTTGGTGCGTGATTCAAAATTGGTTGCGACATCGCCCAAGAGCTTCTGCGTCACGGTCAGCCGCGGGCGAGCGCATAGATCTGTTCGCCCGCGAGCCAACATGCGCATTCAAAAGGTTGTTCAGCATTGGTCCAGGAAAGGCCCCGCGTTGTTCTAAAGTGGGAGAAGCGGTACTCAATAGTGGTTTGGGGTCAGTTGGCGGTTGCGTCAGAAGCCACGGGTTGAACGCGCAGGATTGCAGTTCAGGGCGGCCCAAGGGACCGCGACGACCTTGCTTCACAACTGGCGCAGGAGCGGCAAGGGCGGTGCAAGCGTGGCTCTGGAATTAACGGTGATAAGTGCAATGGCAGGTTTACGCGCGGGCAGGGGTTGTTCTGGAGTGGCCCAGCCATCACGCTGCATCCCACAAACCATTCCAGGGCGGTCGTGCATGTGCCAAGCCCAGGAGCGGTTACGACATTGATTAAACAAAAAGGAAAGCCAGCCTCTCTGCGGTTGATCGGGGGTTTCTGCGTACAGATGACGAACGCCCTCCTCCCCCGATTCCTCCTCCTCCTCCTGTTCCGCTTCGCCCTCCCCGCCCCCCACGCCCCCCTGCTTCGCCCCCTCCTCGCCCTCTTCTTCCGCGCCAGAAACATCCCCCCCCATCTTGCACTTGCTCCTGTGCGTCCTCCTCGCCCCCCCCCCCCCCCTCCTCTTGCCCCCCCCCCCCCCCCCCCCCCCCCCTGTTCCGCGTCATCCCCCCCCCCCCCTCGCCCCCCACCCCCGCCACCACCACCGCCACCACCGCCATCACCACCACCACCCTCATCCTACGCATGTTTCTCCGCCCCCTGCTCCTCCTCGCCCCCCTCCCCTATCATCCGCATGCATTTCCCCCCTTTGGTATAACAACTTTTGTTCTCACCATTCCGTATCTCCCCCCCCCCGCCCCCCCCCCCCTTCCCCCCATCCATCCCCCCTCTTCCCCCCCCCTCCCTTCCTCGCTCCCCATCCGCCCCCCCTCCCCCCCCCCATTTCGCCTCGCCGTCCTTCTCTAGCTTCTTCATCACCATCCTAGCCGCACGTGTCCCCCCTCCTCTTCTTCCCCTCCTCCTCCTTCCCCCCCCCCCATCCCCTCCTCCTCATCCTCGCCATCGCCTCCCCCCGTTGAGTCTTCCTCCTCCTCCTACTCTCCCCCTCCTCCCCCTGGGGCCCACAATGCACTGGGCATTCGTTTTGACGTGGCATGCGACCTCGTGTTGTGCAAGTCCAGTCGTGCGTACACGGTGTTCATGTGTTATCGTGCGCTGTGTAAGTGCGCCTCAGCGCTTATGGTGATACATTTAAGTAGTCGTGGCCTGTCGCCACCCCGCGTAGATTTATATGGGGCGGTGGCGTGCCGGCGAGTTTGCGCCCTAGCACAATGCCAACTCAGAGTGCACCCGATTGCAATCAATACATTGCCCCCCACATACATACACCTTTCAGGAATCGTTGACAGATCCCCCCCCCGTCTACTGGGCGCCTGCCCCCCAGAGGTCATGCACCGGTTCGGGCAGGGGGGGGGCCAAAGCCAGGGCGGTCCTCGGGCGAGACGCTGGTTTCCCTATTTCTTTGGTTTGTGTAGTTTTGGTGGCGATGGGTATGATGTTAATGGTGATGGTGGTGATGGTGCTTGTGGTGGCATTGGCCCTTGCGGTTTCAGTGTTAAGGTGAGGATGATGTGGATGACGATGTGATCTTGCTACCCATGCATCCGCCAAGTGCGTGCGGATCTGGGCCCTGGTGGGCTTCCACGCGCGGTGCTCGGCGGCCCCCATCGTCGGCGTTGCAGCCAGCCACGTCGACAGGTAGTGCTTGGCCGCCGCTGGCCCGAACACCGCCGCGTCCATGGCCAACGACCTGTACTTGTTGCAGCCATGGCGGGTCGGGCACTGCACCCGAAGGCCGCGGCCACCGCGCCAGTGGACCTCCAGCGAGATGGGCTGCCCGAGGACGAAGTCGGGCACCGCGCAGCCTCCGTCGCCCCCATCTCCGTGAATCCCAGGAGGAGCTTCAGCAGCGATCGGCGGTGGTGGCGGATCTGCAGGCGGCTCCTCATCGCCATCGTCGCCGTCGATGTCGACGATGGCCGCGGGCGCGCCTCCTGGGACAGGCTCTGACGGCACCGCCATCAGCGTTGCGTCGACAATGTAGTCATCGCCAGCTGCCTCGAACTCCACCATCATCTCGTTGCACTCTCGCGCAGTGGCCTGCTCTGGGACGGGCCCCCAGCCCGCAGCAGCCACCTGCAGCACGCCTGTGGCTGGTCGCTCCTGAAGCGCTTCTGATCGCGCAGAAAAATTGATCGGCGGGCCAGGAGGCACTGGAAGTAAAACCTCTTGGAGATCAACCTGCGGCCGTCGAACTCCGCGACCGAGCCCTTGGCATGGAAGCGCAGGGCATCGCTGGACCTGAATCCCTCGGCCACGAGGGCGCCCTTCAAGCACAACACGGGTATCTTCGGGTCGGACAGGGGGGCCCTTGCGATGGCATGGGAGGGTATTCCCCCCTCGTCGTCTTCCCCCTCCTCCGCCTCCAAACCTTCCTGCTCCTCCAACTTCTCCTTCCCTCCTCTTCCACCTCCCCCTCATCCCCCCTCCCCGTGAGTCCTCCACAATGCAACCTTCTTGTCGCATAAGCCGATGCAACTGTCGACCCGCGGGGCGCGCGCCTGCCACCTGCAGATCCGACTGCGATTGGTCGCGTCGCCGCCAAACACCGCAAAGATGCTGGAGTACACTGAGACCGTTGCCACCGCGAACACGTCCACGCGCCCGTCGTCGTCGGCCCCGGAAGTCGGGTCGACGAAGATGTCCATTGGACGGAGCAACCAAATCGCGGTATCTGTAAGGGCCGCGCCAGTTGTCTCCACAAGGATGTCTTTCGTCTGCTTCGCAATGACCTGATACACGTGGAAGGGTACATCATCGCCTGGCCCACTGGGGGCTGAGAAATAATCGTACTGCTGCAGCGCGCCTCCGAGGAACTCCGCCATTAGCTTCTGCGACTCTGTCAACCCTCGGAACTGATTGCCTTTGCATGGGCTCCACTGTGCGCTACATAGCCGCATCTCCAGGGTCTCCGCCGCGAGGGTCATCAGGCTCGTCGAATGCATCGTCGCCGTCACGCGGATCGTCGCCAGGTCGATGATGACCCAGAAGCCTGTGGGAGCTGAGCTCGTAGACTCGCCTATGCACTTGTTCTCGTTTCATATTGATCGGCTTCGTCGGCCCCTTCACCTTCACCACCGAAGACCACGCATTCCATACATGCTGGATGCTTGCCCCAGTTGCGATGACCAACTCCAGCACCGCGCTGAGGTTGCGAGCCAGCCGAAGTGATGACGCCACGAACGGGAACTTGGTGCATCGTGAATTTCCCAAGACACGCTTCGCCTTTGCATGTGGCCCCATCGGCGATGTGGTCGTCGAACGGGATGTCGACGAGCTGCTGCGCCGCTTGACGGAGCCCGTCAGGTAGTCCCCCGCCAGCCTCAGGCAGCTGCACAATCGAGCTCTTGATGGGCGAGTCGTCGCCCGAAAACCTCAAGGTTACTGGGTGGTGCTGATCTTTGGGGACTTCTCGGTATTGCGCTAAGACTCTGCCAACTATCCCAGGCTCGCCCAACCTCGAAAGAAGGTGCGGGATGTGATCCAAGAGTTGCAGCTTCCTCATGCCCATTGATCTGCAATACTGCACAGCACCGATGCAGGACGACTGCAAAGAGGCACCCTCGCCGAAATCATGCAATGACCAGCTGCAGATCTCCGTGACGGCGTCATTGAATACTGTATTCGCGTGGTCCCATGCATATGTTATCAAACGGCCCTTCATCATGCAAGAAACTGTCCGTCCATTCCTGTGCTCCTGCTGGTGGCACGCGCACGAGCCCCCCCCCCCCACGACTGCAAAGATGAAAGCCAGTCGGCGTGGCACTCTACGAACTTGAAATGCACTGCCCAACGATGGCTGAGAAGGGACGCCCTCGCCTTCTTCAGCAACGCCGTGCACCTGATCTTCGCAACGAAATCGAATGAAGACCGCATCCGACGGCATATGTCGAACAGCACTGACATCGCCTTGCATGCCTTGTGCAACGTGCCCCATCGCCACTCTGCAAAGCATGGTATCGATATATTGGCAACCAGCTGAGCTACCGAGGGATGCGTTTGCCGAATAGCCTTCACCACATCACCCGACTAGTACCGCAAGAACTGCAAACACGCCTTCAAGCCACCTAACCACGTCGGGAACCAATGTAAACTTGCATAGCGAGCGCTTGATAACTGCATCAATGATGTGCATCCACCCAGGAGCCACGAGTGCGACAGGGAACAGTTGCCTATGACGTCAAACCCGTGGCGGAACACGTATACCGACAAGACCGCAGAAATCGATCAGACCATCTGGCGTCGTGCACAATAGCCTTTCTGTCCCGATGTCCGACGTGATAGACGCAACCTTGGCCAGGAAACTCCGAAGCGAAGTGTAGCTTGGCCCGACGATCAGCATGATCTTCCACAGAATCGCGCACGTCTTGCCGATCAGGTCGAGCTGGCGGTTCCCGATGCGGACTACAGAGAGTAGCATCCTCAGGCATGTCCACCTCTGGTTGTCACACGTGATGAGGTCCATAGTGCTAGCCATCATCTCAACGCCTCGCCACTGCGGGCTGCCATCCGTGAACAAGTATATAATGGAGCTTTCCAGCTCCTTGGCAATATACAATCTGAACAATGCCATGTGCACAATATCCAACCGAATCCGTGCAAGCCGAAGTACAGTCCGAGATATACCATGAGATTCGCTCACCATGCGCTGCGCTTCATCATGGTCATACTGAGCCAACACCTTCGCCCATGCAAACTTGGCCTGCTTCCCGGCATGCATACTCTTGAGGTGCTGTGTTGCGCCCAGGAATGCAATGATGGCAATCGCTGGGAGCCCAGCGAACATGGTAGAGCCTTTCGGCCTTGCTGGTACACAGGACTGAGAAGCGTTGGCAACCACACTCTGGCTTATCGGCATCGAAACAACTCCTGAAATATGTTGCTGTCTTTGCAGATGGGCCCGATGACAGAATATGCTTCGCCCACCTCAGGTTTGGCTTAAATGGAACAACTTCCAGCACCGCCCATATGTCATTGATCTGCTTAGCATATTCTTCTGACGTCATAACTGAAAATATTGGCACTTCACTCGCAGCTTTACCAACTCCGCCTGCCCATAGACGAACCATCGCCTTACATGCGATGTCGTGCTGTCTGTCATGCACACCAACCATGTCTTCGCACCGAGCGTGTTTGATTGCCCCCCACGCGCCGGCGTGTCCGATTGCAAGATGTTCTGGATATCTGAGTTCTGACACTTGAGTTAGATGATATACTACTGCACCCGATATTGCGTCGATACTATCTCCGAAGGTGCGTGTCAACACGAATTGGGCTTGATTGCGGTTCGGAATGGCATCTTGTTTGTGAAGTTCCCAGTGTCCGAATCCGATGCTGTAGACGACACGCTCATCTAACGCCTGAGGCTCCTCTGAAACTGAAAATCCTGGGCATGAGCTCGCACTGCATAGAATCCATACACACGCGTCGCCAAAATTGTCGATCAAGTTGATATTCCTGCCTCGTTTGCAACCGCGCCACACTGGAGACTCTGGCGCCTCCTCGTCCCCATGGATGTCTAGATCGTTGGCGGGACTCGGAGGCGGACCGTCACGGTCGATCCCCGCCACGCGGGGGCGTGAAACTTCACTGGGCCAGAATGGCTGCACAATGCTTCGCACACTGGAATGCGATGCGATGCAATGCAATGCAAACTTCACTGCGCCTTGCAACGCAAGTCAACACGAAGGCTAACTATGCAATGCAATGGAAAGTGGCACGGGACAGCATGAAGCAATGCGAACGCAATGCAAGGCCCCCCAGAAGCTTCATGCAACGCAAAGCAAGACAATCCCACTGGAGTAAGCAACTACGCGAACCGCAGAGAGCCCAACTGTGTTTGTGAATGTTCACCCAGCAAGCTGTCTGACGATCGATCCGCCGACCCTTTGGGGCCATTGCGATTGTGAGACATCTATCTTCCAGTTCGTGAGGCGCACGCAACCCGCCCCCCTATAGGCGGTTAGCGGCCCCTGTTTGATTCACCCCCCCCGTCGCCGCCCGCCCGCGCCTCTCCAGCTGCCAGCCGAGAACAGCTGAAACGACACATCGTTTGTGTTCTAAGGGTGCCATCTGCCCATCCCCCGACTAACATACATTTACCCTACCAACATAATTCATGTAAACCTCGGCCCAAACCTGCGCTCAACATTCTCCTCTGCCCGACCCCCCCCCGCCCCACCGCGTAGAAGACCAAGCAGCACGCGAACCACGCAATGAATGCATGCCCATTACTTGCGACACTTTGATTGGGCAGCGCCGTGCATTTCGGGGGGGGGGGGGGCGTGCCATGTGTTGTTACAACATGCGATGTATGATGGCCCTATCGTTATTCACTACTGGCATTTGTAGTTGCAGGGCCGGTGATGAATTTGCATGGCCCCGACGAGTCGGTTCGGGGTTGGATGTTGCATCCGTGCTTTAGGCTTGGGGAACTGAGTTGCCTTTCCGTGTAAGCTTGTTCGCTCCCTACGCCCTTGCCACGTACATTGCAAGAGTCATCGCCATGCAAGGGCACTTCTTCATCTGCTTGTAGAAATGACTTTGCATGGGGAACCTGAAGGACTTGTAGGGCTTCTCCATCTCCAGTGTCACCCCAATCCATTCATCGTGGAAGTGGTAGAGGTCGCGATCCGCCTCTTTGCCTTCTCCTTTGATCTGGATAGCCATAAGGTCCTCGTAGGTGTACACCTGACCATGGTCTTCGCGGGTAGTGGCATGGGTTTGGACAATGCGAAGCATCGATCTTCCTGCGAGTAACCCTCCGCCCTTCATCAGGGCAGAGCCAGCGAGATCAACTTCGCCAGCAAGGTGCCTTTAGGCATGAGGAGCATTTGGATCCCTTTGGATATTGTTAATCTTCGCGATGAGGTCCGCAGCAATACGTATGTCCAGGAATGCGGTCCTGGGTTTTTTTTTTCAAAGCCTTTGCCTCGACGTGTTTGGGCTCGAATGCCTCGGCGATCCACTTTGACGCCAATGCATGATTTTGCTGCGAGCTCGATGCCACGGCTCGAACGACAGATTTCTTCCACATACGGAAGGAACCCGCGTGTGGCAGCGGGTCCAGAGTTATCTTGTCGATTCGATCTGCCGCAATCCACGGTGTCACCACAGGTACCAGACCGCCAGAGTCCGGGAGCCCTGGGCCCCCGCCTCCTCCTGGAGGCCCCGAGGGCGGCGGCCCCCCACCCCCCGGATCGCCTTGCCCGGCTCTCTGGGCGTCGGCGCATCGTCTGGCTCTACGGTTCGCCGCATCCTCATCTTCCTCCTCGGAGGATTCACCATCCTCGTCATCGGAATCTTCTTCTTCGGAACCATCCTCTTCGGAGTCGCCCTCCGCATCGGAATCGTCTTCGTCGTCGTCATCGCCGTCGCCGCCATCGTCAGGGTTGCCGCCCCCTGGCACGCGACCGGATCCACCCTTCTTCTTCCCCGGCACGTCTCCGTCGCCGCGGGCGTTGCCCTGGCGCAGAGGCTGATCGCCACCCCCTGCGAGGCCCCCCGCAATGGCCGCGGTCTTCCTCGGCCGGGCTGGCGTAGTGCACCTGGGGAAATTACTGACAGGCGGTCCGTTCGGTTTCTTGTTCTTCCTTTCTTCTTCCTGTTCCTGCATCCTGCTAGGGTCATTCCCTTTGATGGCTGTCATTGTCACGGGCCCTGGCAGCGGCAACCTCTGATTCTCTCATTATTGCCTCCGCCTTTTCGCGCATCTCCTCAGCCTGCACTTGCGCTGCTTTCTCCATCGCGAGCGCGCGCTGTTCGGCTTGCTCTTCTGCGCCGAAGGGCTACTGCCTCTTCGTTGGCCCTTTGCATGTCGCTGAACCGTTTAGCCTCTTCCTCTTCTTGCATCCTTTTCTTCGCCGTGGCTTCCTCCTGCCCATGCTGTCTTCTCAGCGCTGCCTCGCGGTCACGCGTGCGATCGGTTTCACACTGCGCGCGCCGCCCCATGACCCACTCAAAAACTGCTCACAAACTGCCCCTGGCATCTTTCGCATGCGCGCGGGGCGTCACCCGCGCGGCATGCAAAGCACCTGGTCACGTCTGATGTAGCCGGCCTGGACCGCGAATCCTCCCGCTGGGACGTTGCCCCGCCGACGGAGCGGATCCGCGTCGCCGACGCGGAGACGGCCCCCCTTACCGTGCTGGTCGCGCCTTGGAGCCCCTCCTGCGCCATTTGCAGGGCCTGTTGTCGGTGGGATTGTTCACGGCGCGCTTCCCATTCCTGCGCGTTCGAAGCAGCTTCTCTGTGGAGTCGCTGTCTTGTCTCCTCAGCTCCGGCCCGAGCTTGCAGTTCAGCTCTCCGCAGTGCTTGCGCTGACACTTCTGCCTCGGCTTTCGCGTTTGCGCGGCCTGCCTGGGAAGTTGCCGCACCTATCTGGGCAGCATGTTGCAGTGATTTCAACTCGGTTGCCCTTCGTAGGGCTGCCTCGTGCTCTGCGAGGGCCACTGTCCTGAATCGGATCAGCGCTTGAGCTTCTCCGCATGCTGCCCCGCGAATTGCCATGGCTGAATCGGAAACTCGCCGGAGGTCAGCTTGCGCATTGACTACTCCCATCTGTGCATTCCTGGCTTCGTCTTCCAGCTGTCGCTGTTCAGCCTGGGCCCCCAGTAAGGCCATGTCCGCTGCCCTCTCCGCCTCGACGGCGTTCTGTTCTCACCGGCGCCCCTCGGCGATAGACTTGGCTGCGACCTGTTCCGCCTCGGAAATAGACCGCCCCAGCGCCACGGTTGCCTCGTGGAGCCTGGCGCGGACTTGTTCCTCGAACTTCGCCTCTCGGCCCTGCGCCCCGCGGAGTGCTTGTCGGGCCCTGTTCCGCGATAGCCTGTTCAGCCCTTCGCTGCTCCTCGGCCTCTTTATCTGCTTTTAATGCAGCCTCATAGAAGGCATCCGTCTGCTCTTTTTCCCTCTTGAGAATTGCTTTAAACTCGTGTTCGGCCTGCTGTGCCGCCAGTTCATGCTGTGCTCTCTGCCTTGCTTCCACGTCTGCCATCATCGCGCGCGTGGCCGCTATTTCGGAAGCGCGCTCCTGCTCGAGTTGGCTTCGCCTCATTTCCTGCCGCAGCTCCCACTCGCGGCGTTTACACGCAAAGCAGTTGCGTTGCCTCGGCGCCAGACATTCCTGGCAAAGATACGCAAGATTGCACAGGCCACACTGGACAGAGCAGCCCCGGCACACGGGCTTCTGACATGGTAGGCCATCGGCGGTCCTGCCCGGGCGCCGATTCTCGGGGCCCGGCTCGCACATCGGCCCGCGATTCGCACATGACTCCCAAATCGAGAATCGAGACGTTGACGATCTGGACAAAGATGACCCGCTAACGGATCCCCGTGAGTTGCGGCTTCGGCCGCCCTTCCCCGACCTCGACCTCCTGGAAATCGAGCCGGGTGACTCGAATAACTGTCTTCCACAAGGTTTCAGATCAGGGGCTGGCTCGGGATCCCCTGGGCCACTCGAGCCGCCATGGGCGCTTTTCGTGCGGGGATTGTTCCACGTCCACCGGGTCGCCCCTAGGGTTTTTTCCGTGACGAGTCTCTATTCCATACCCCCCGGACGAGGCCGCAAGGTCCCTTCGGCGTTCGACACTGCCCCGCGGGCTCTGTGACTTCCCCTTTCTCCGGACATAGTCCGCACCCTGCTTCTCTGGGGCCCGATCAGATGCCGATCCAGAACTCTTCTCGGACGAGCTCGATATTGCCATCGCCTTCTCCGGCGCGGC